ACACTATGAATCATCAGCCTGATGCTGTAATTCCTGTGAAGGATACTGGCCTGGGAACTAAGAACTAGTGTTTCATCGGTTAGGATGTGGTTTTAAGCAATGGATGTAACCACTGTCTAGTTTCCCTCTCCTGAGGTTTGTGTGGATCCGCTCCTGGCTGCTAAGAGATCCTGTTCACAGCCCTGGCCTTTGGAGAAGGCAGCGGAATTCGGGTACCCTGAGATCCTTCCTCACTAGCTTGGGTGCGCAGGTGCCATGGCCATGGAGAACGGACTTCAGAAATCCTGTGACATTTTCAAATTAAGCCAACCTTTCCTGAAACCCAGGGTGACGACCATACTGTTGTTCAGTTATTGATCGATAAAGTTATGTGTTTCCTTCCAAGTACAAATCTGACTGACCAGGAAGGGACTGCCTGTGTTGAGGGTCATAGGAACCTTCACCGTAGCTGTTACAACTTCTTTCCACACCCTCTCTTTCCCCACTGCGGAAGGATAAGAAAGGGACAAGCTGCGACGTTCCTGTGCCTGCCAGCAGGCAGCAAAATTTTGAGTCCTTTGGGATGAGAAGCAGCAGCCGGCACCCGGTGGCCTTGAATCGAGAAGACATACAGGTGGACGTTTTCTCACCTGCCGTTGGTTTAAGCTACACGGTAGAAATTAAACCTTGTTTCAGTGGTTAGGTGCATCTCAGTGAGAAGATGTTTATTTTTCTTAATTAGCCACAGAACTGAGAGATCTGCATCCTAGCTGTTTTGGGATACAGGGACACCGGAGTCCAGCAAAGGTACAAGGGTGTCATTCATCAAAGGGTGTTCCTTTGACCTTTGCATTTGGTTGAGGAAATTGCATAGGGTAGTAAACAAAACAGGAAATTGTGGTATATTAAAGATAATTTTTAGAGAGATTAGTTGGTAACGTGAGCATTTTGCTTAGCTGTTTGTTTCTGGGGTATAGTCAGATTTTTTTGGTAAAATTTTGAGCAGTCAGTTAATGGACTCTAAATCTCTAGGATTTAAATAAGAGAATTTAGAAATAGATTACTTAAATCTCTGAGAGCATTCATTGCAAAATACATATTTCCATTAACTTCAAACTGAAACTAGTGTTAATTATTTGTGACTTATGTGAAAAAAGACAGCCATAGTAAAAAGGCTAAGTTATTGCTACAATTCCAGTTTCCTTGTGGTTTGGTTTGGTTTTTTTTTATAGTGCCCATTCAGACAGAAGGAATAAGCATCATGAAATCTGATGTAGGTATAAAGCCTGACATCTTACGCTTTTGTAAAAATGTGTCAAGCTTCTCCAAAGAATGTTAGTTGAATCAATAAGTCAGAACTAGAGGAGGCCTAAGGATAAGACTGTCTTTTTCAGTCTAAAACCGCTCTCATGCACACTCCACTTAAATAAAATAAAAATTTGCACAGTTGGATGTCCAGTCTTGCCCAGTTCCCAAGTGGACTGTGATTTAAAACTGAAAGCAGGGCACCACCTGCACTGCTCGGCTGTTGTAATGAAGTCCCGGGAGAATTATTTCCTAGGGAATTATATGACTGGAATAACAGGCCTGTCTGGCTCCCTTACCCTCTTCGTATTTTTTATAATTCTGACTATTTTTCCTGTTTGCAGCTTTCCTGAGCTGATATCATCCTGAGGAGCTGGTGATTGGCAGTGATAAGAGATACAGCAAATAAGGGATGCATAAAGAGGGTTGAAGTAGGGTATTATAAATAGCAATGCTCCGCTATTGTGGATTTCAGGGATATAATGCTTTTCATCAGTGAAATTTAGACCCTGCCCGCCATCTCAGTTGTTGCTAGACCACAAATACTGTGTTTGTGGACTTTGTAAATCAGTTGATATTTAGCACTGAGAATAGCCTGTAAAAAGTCTTGGAATTGATAGTTAAGGACCTGGGGTATAAAATCAATACAAATCCTAGTGACTTGATTCCTCAGTCATGGAACAGTCTTGCCCCAAATGCAGCACAGCAGTGAAGGAAGCAGACAGCACTGCAAAAATGAAGAAATCTCAATGGGATTTTTTTGGTTGTTGGTTTTTGGGGTGGTGGTATTGGGTTTTGGTTTTGACTTTTTTAAAATTTTCATGTTGTAATCCACTATCTATTTCTCATGCAGCTCTGCCAGCAGAGAGATGGTGTAAGGGTGGTCACGTCAGCTGCAGAAAAGATGGTGGGGTTAGTTTATACAGTATTTATTGATGGTTTAAACTAACAGGGCACCGGCGACGCTGAGAAGCAGCCAGAGGCAATGTCAGCCACCAGCAGAAACAGCCTGGCCTGCAGTGGGACCTCTGCAGCAAAGTACGGCGAGGACACTTGTCCCTGCACTGGTAGCATTAAGGCACTGGGATGGTGTGGTCGTAGGAACAGGTCTGTGTGCTCACCTCCTTCAGTGGTGGGCAACAGAGGGTGACTGCCCATGTTTCACTGAGGACAAACTCTTGTGGTTTCAGTAAATAGAGCTTGTCTGTGGAGATACCTTCCCTAAGAAAGAAGGCTTGTCATGATAATTTAAAACATGGCAGTGAAAGCCTGATTGCTCAGTAACTTTTCTTATTTTATTTTTTGTTCAAAATTTAGCATAAGTTATTTAAAAAAGTTTTTAACATACAAAAGGACTTCATTCCAGCCTCCTAAAAGATGAGTGCAGGTATCGATTTGACCATAGCAAGTATATGGTCAAAGTATCTCATGGATATATTTACTGCCCGGTGCTCTGTAGCAGACTGCCATGTGAGTCATGTAGACTTCAAAGGATAGAAATACTAGAAGCCTTCAAGAAGGTGACTTCAGGATGCTCACTCTCAGGGGTCCATAACCGGAGCTCCTAACCGCAATGCACAGAATGGTCCCTGGGTTTTTCCATAGCCTTGCTGATGTAGGACTTGCTCCTTTCTTGGGACCTTGGTTACTTGGAGAAGGAGGAAGAGTCCTGGTCATAGTCGGTAGTAGGAGTGGGTCTAGCATTTGGGCAACACCCTCTTTCTCTGCCCATTCTGCATGTCCCTTTCCTCTGCCTTACCTGTTGGTGTCGCAGGTACCCCCAAGCACAATATGACACACGCCACGTGTTCCTCTCCTGGTGCCCTAAGGGGCAAAATAATTTGGTAAAGTCACAAATCAATGCAGTGTTTTTCTGGAACATTTATCTGGTTTATTTTGTATTACATAAAGAACAGCCATTAGACGGGTCTCATCCCTTCTGCGTTAATCCAGTAGCATCAAGGCAGAGCGAGAGCACTGCGGTTTGAGCACGAGGGCCCTGTGCGCTGCTCTCCTTATCTGCCTTCCAATCTTCAAACTCTTACATAATATGTTTAAGACTGTTTTTTGAGTAATCTCTTTTGGGGTCTCATTTTGCATTCTGAGTCTCCAGCAACAAAGAACTGCTATGCTCTTCCCTCGCGAAATCCTTTCCAGAAGGTGCACATTATCTACTACAAGGCAGGGCAACGATGAGCATCAATTTCCACAGCAGAATAGAAGCCTGGATTACAAATTACTGTTTAATCCTTTTTGCGTCAAAGGATATAATAATCCTTGTAAAATGTGCTCTAAGTCTTGTGCTTGGCTGTGTGAGGTTAAGGGGCAAAAACCAAAACAGGGATTCTCTTAAAAAGTAAGACATGGTGAAATGCATGTGTTCCACATGAATTTCAGAATATACTTATGACTACAGTTCAGCAGCTAAAAATAAAGATGATGGGCTGGTACCTAGACTAGCAGTTTTCATTTCTCCGTATGCTTGCTACTACTCTGCTTGAATACAGTAAGTGTCTGTCATGCGTGTTGCTTGCTGAATTGCAATAAAGAATTTAGGCACAAAGTAAGCATTGCTCGAATTTTATGTTGTTGGGTTTTTTTTTTCCCTACTGATGAGAACATACACGAAAACTAACTAATGAGCAGGTCTCTTAAGAATGTGAGAAAATTTTATTTTCTGAATCATCCTGTTGTAAGTGTCAAGCAGCGTGATTTTGTAAGGGAGAGAAGGGTAAATAAGGTTGGGAGGCGTAAGGGTTTAGCGTTTGAAATGGCAGACTGACGACTGCACAGTTTCCTGACCAGGCAGCTATTTTAAGAGGGGCAAAGTTTAATAACTTAGAAAGTTTAGAAAATAAATCCCACAGTCCTTTGACTGATATGATTATCATCGCATCAAGTATGCGGTAATTTTGTTAGATAAAAAAGCAAAACAGGTTAGTTGTTTGGAACCAATAGCTTCATGTGATTAGTTTTTTCTGTATTTTTATTACTGCCCTCTGTACTAAATCAAATGTGGTGTATTAGGTAGAATCAGTCCCTCTTACTGTGTAGCAACCCACAGAGAAAACCTGAAGGTAAGTGGTGACATATATGCAATATTACTAATGGAAAGTAAGTGGTTTGTTGCTGTTATTTCTAATGCAATGTATTTAGACTTTAATGTGTAATATTCTACATTAATAGTCAAAATCCAAAAGAGAGAGTAGGACCAGATTAAAATCATAATCTCATATTAAAGAACACATTTAATTACTTGGTCATATAACCATTATTCCACAATAGGGTATTTTTGTGCTAGATGTTAATTGCACACTCGTAGTGTGACGTTGCATAATGCAGTGTCCTTGCTGTCACAAACTGGTCATCTTGCAGGTGAAAACAGTGCAATGCAGCAGCTGTTATGACGCTGTAAAACATTTATGTTGTAGAAGGAGTCGTACTTGAAGGTTTTTTTGTTGCTATCTTCTGTGACAAATTTACAGAAAACAGGAATGTTCTTTTAATCTAGCTAGCTGTTGTGTTTTGGTAAACCCAGAAGTCAAAAGTTCTGACAAGAACTTTCATTAATTCATGGAAAATGAATAATTTTTATTTCTTTATTTTCGGCAGAAAATGACACTTGACTGAAGAGCTGGAAGAAGTTGCTTCCCTCTCAGCTTTACGTGAGCAAGCCCATCCTATGAGGAGGATCCGTCAGCCTTCTTAGCTGTACAATGGGGACTACAGGTGACGACATGGCTGCGGTGGAGCAGAATACCTCCTTGAACCCGCTGTGCTTCGAGTGTGGCCAGCAGCACTGGACAAGGGAGAACCACCTCTACAACTACCAGAACGAAGTGGATGATGACTTGGTCTGCCACATTTGCCTTCAGCCCTTGTTGCAGCCATTGGACACTCCCTGTGGACACACTTTCTGCTACAAGTGCCTAAGGAACTTTCTGCAGGAGAAGGATTTCTGCCCGCTGGATCGGAAAAGACTCCATTTTAAACTCTGCAAAAAATCCAGCATTCTTGTTCATAAACTGCTAGACAAGCTATTTGTTTTGTGCCCCTTCTCTTCCGTGTGTCAGGAAGTCATGCAGCGATGTGACCTGGCAGCACATCTCAAAAACAGGTGAGCGGTGCAGACGCTTGCGTTGCATGTTCCTTACGCGCTTGGTAGGCCAGTTTGTGTAGCAGTAGAAATTGGGGGTAGGAGGGGGAAGGGGGTTGGTGCTGGTTTTTAAATTCACAGTAGAAAACCATAGGAAATGGTCAGTCTGTGTGTGCAACTAGAGCACCGGATCCCGTTTTGGACATTGCACCAGAAATAGTGAAGAACGCTTGAAAGAGAGTCATGGGGAGAAGAACGTGATTCATTAGAGGTCTCATAAACATGATTTAGCAGAAAAAGTTAAAGAAAATGGGGGTTGTTTATGGTAGGGGAAAAAAGGCTGAGGGAGGGGAAAAATGAGAGGTGTGCTAACTCAGTCTGCAAAGAGGAAGGAAAGAGTACAATAGGAACAAAGGAGATTTCGTTCAGGTTTTAGGAGAAAAAGTTTTACAATGGTCCGGCACTGGCATAGATTGCTCGAGTGGTGGTTGTATATTCCCCACTTTCAGAAGTGTTCATGAACATGTTAAACCAACCTTCATCAGGAACAGTTACGGCAGAATTGATTCTGCTTTGAGGTAGGCAGATGGACAGAGCATCTCTCAAGACTCCTGCAAGACCTATTTTTCTCTGTTTTAAAGAAGAATCTGTTTATTGAACAGGTTGATGGTATGTCGTGCAAGCACAATGCAGTTTCTAGGATTTTTTTTGTTTGTTTTGGTTGGTTATAGAACCCTTCCAACACCCTGTTAATTTGGTAGAAATTCATCACATTGCACTAGTGGGAAGTTTTGGTGCAGCTTTTGTGAGTGATTTTGTGTCAGAGAGGTGCATTCCAATATTGCCTACACCTAAATGTTTAGGACCTTATTTTGAACTGTTAATAATTTTATAGTTCCTCTGCTTTATGCTGTCCTACCTCAAATATTTAAATATTGAAAGGAGGCCATGATAGAAAGAGGGAAATAAGATTATTATAAGGTTGGACCAGATGATCCTTGTATCCCTTACAACCTGGTATTCTATGATTCTACAATTAATAAATTCAGATAGAATGATATTTGATATTGTGCAGACTAGTGCACTTTGTTTTTCCAGCAAAGGAATTGCTTTCGTACTGCCTGTGTGGTACCGTGCTACATGAAGATGTTTAATTCTTCTCTGTAAGGCAATGCCATTTTTATAATGGAAAAATGTTAAACTTGTTTTGAGGGGTACATTTGACCTCTTTTGTTTCCTCTGTAGGTTGGAGAATATTTTCAGTAAATAAACCGACTTTTTTTTAATCATTAGCTATTTTGTTGCACGAGTCATGAATAAAAAGTTGGACATACCTTTTATGTTAAAGCTAAAATATGGTGGAATTAATGAGCCAGGGCTAAAAAGGTATTATGCATATCTATACCAACTAACTTTAAACTGCTTAGAGATTTATGAAATTATAAGAGGAGTATGGTGAAGAATTACGTAGGGAAGGAAATTATGTGTTCAAAGGAAATGTATCTGACTTCAAAGGATCCAGTTCAGGTGAATTGCAGCTGCTACCAGAAAATATTCCCTGTGTACAGCTCAATGCTATTTGAAAACCTACATTCATTTTGCAGAGGCAGGTTTCAGAAAAGTAATGTAACTGTCCCTGCAAAAAAGCATCAAACCCAAAAGAATAAGCATTGTGTATATCCATTGTACACAGACAAAAGGCACTAGGGAAATGTAATTCAATATGTGAGCGGTTTTGTCAGCAGCGTTCATAAAAACAAGCGTGTTGTCTGGTGACTCTTCATGAAAATGCATGGTAGGAGTCCTAACTCCTCTGGTCTCCTCAGTCCTGAGATGAGATCTTTTCATTTCCATGACTTCGTCATGGGCTTTGTTCTTACCTGCTTTGCTTTTTTTTTTTTTTTTTTGGTGTCTTTATTTTTTAATAGACTTCAGCAGTTGCCCATTTCATGAGGGTATTTCATGGTTTGGTGGTCTTACCTGTGCCGGCTCTTTGGGCAAAGAGCCCTCTGCATTGGGATTGAAAACCCTGGGCCCAGAGGGAGGAACAGTGGCGGCTGCAGCGGGACGGGGAGAGGTTTCCTTTCCGTCACCCTCCCCAAAAGGAGGGTGGTATTAGCTGTGTGCCTCCTCCACCTGTCCTCGGTGCAGTCCAGCAACACTAGAAAGGTTTACTTGCGAGGTGATGGATCTACCCCATGAACTTCTTTCCAAGTCTTGGCCTTCATCCATTTGGACAGTCTTGGAGACCATCTTCGGGTGAAGGGTGACATTGCGGAGGAGATTGTTTGGGAGTCAGGCATGGTGTGGGTGTGCGTGCAGGCAAGTGCTCTGCAGAGAAGGGGAAGAGAGCAGCCACCGCCTGCCTTGGAAACAGTTTGTTCACATGTGCGTATTCCCAGCGTGCCCTCTTCCTTCTTCCCTACATCCTGAAGGCTTCCAGGGATTCAGAGCCTGGGAGGACCTCGGGCATGCAGGACATACAGCAACCCTGTGGACTGTGGTGAGCCTGGAGCTGCCTGGGTTTTGCTGGTCGTTGTACCCACAGCATGAATGTACACGTATGTGGTGTCCGTGGCAGGGAGGTACGGGAACTGATGAGGAGCCTTTCTCGCTAGGTTTTTTTCCTTTTTTTATTTCTCCACACGGTTTCCATGTTAGCTTAGGCTCTTGCTTGTTTCCTCCAGGCAAGTAATTTTTGATCTATATGATGACTTGGGGCTGGTGAGGAAGCCTAACTGTTTCTTTGATTTATAACCCTAATATTAAACTGATTTGATTTTAATAAAAGGCAAAATGCTAGCAAGACTCCTGCTACATATTTGGTTCATCCTCTGTTTCCCACTGTCATATGCCTCACCTCTTCAGTCCATTTGCCTTAGTTGGCATCTCTTTGAATGATACTAGGGCTGTTTACAACAGGGCCATGTAGTTTATTTGTACCTGGAACACGTTGTATGCTCTCTTTCAGTATATATGAAATATTTATTTACTTAATGCACAAGGTTATTATAAAATTCAAGTGAGCTGAGTCACTGGCTTTTCCTGTTTGTTGGCTGGAAAAAAGCTTTCAGTCACAGAATGCTGCTTGGTTTTGATTCCTTCTGTTGTCTTGGGATGCTGATACACATTTTGAGTATATGGTGATTTACGGTTTTCAATTAAGTTTATTTGCAAACATCTGAACACCTGTAAATTATCATTGCTGACATAAATGATGGCAGCAACTGCGTATTTTGAATTTGATTTTATATGGATTACTGAATCCAGTAAAATTCTGCTAGTGATCATTAAATGTAGGAAAGAAATATAAAATTCAGTATTATTATAATTTTCAGCATAGGTTACTATAAACCAGTCTCAACAAGCCCTTACATGAGCTAGTTTGTATTTTGAAGAAATGCAATATGGTTGGTTAGTTTTCACTGTCTAAAAACATTCACACTCAGGTTTTCCAGTGTTGTTTTAATCGGCTCCATTTGAGCGTAAAATCTGGAAGAAAAGGTCATCGTATCCACCGGGCACCTCAGAGTGTAAAGTTACTGCAGGCTGCTCCGGCAAGGAGATGAGAGGCACGAGACACAAACTTGATTACTTCATGGTCACTAATTGCACTCCATGATACCTCATTGCATAAAGAAGATATTCTTGATTTATCAGATGTTCCGTTTCATCACATTCACTTGGGAGCTGTGGTTTTCAAAGTTAAACACAATGCATATAATCTGATTTAATGGAAAAAACCAAGACATGAGTAATGCTGAGTTGTACTGTTTTTCCTAGTCACTTGGTGTGAAAAATTTGTTAATGTTTAGTAAAGTAGGTGCCGGTTCCACTTCTAAGTATCAGAGGTAAATTTATCAGAAGGAAATCTGACAAAAAAATTATTCAGCTTTTCTATGTATGATTTTAATTCAGTTAGTTCTTATGGATTATTCAGACCTGAAGAAACTCCATTGTACAAAAACATACTCTGAAATTCATACAACTTTTTAATGAGAGTGTTAGGTATTGTGTTCATGTGTTGCTTTTGAGTTGGGCTTCAGTTTTCCCCTCCTGTATTCTCCTATGGTAGTTTAAGTCATCGTTTTGGATGGAGACATTTTTCCATGTTTTAATGTTGAAGCCAACATTCAACCCAATTTTATGTCAGGTTAAGTTTGAACTTTATATAGGGTTGTTTTTTCTGAAATTGAAGAAATTATTGAACTATTCATTGTGTGTCAGTCAGCACGTTTAATATATGGATTTAGCTTAACAAGACCCATGGGAAAATTAGTTGTATAGATACAGAATTTTATCATTCAAAATCTTGGCAATGCCAGTTGTTTTGGTGTTTCTGATAGTGCCGCTGAGTCCTGTTCTTCCCACCCTGTCCCATGTTAGCTGCGGGCACCGTCCTTACCCTGCTCTTCGTAGCGCCAGGAGAAGGGAAGAGGATCTGTAGGATTTAACTCTCTTTTGGCAGGTCTTTTCTTACACCTGAGTGAGTGGATAGGCAACAGATTGAGGGTTTCTCCGTGCCGTGTGGACCCTTGCCATTGCTGGGAAAGGTGAAAGATATTTCTCTGGTTGTTCTCTGAAGCCACTTGGCTCCTTGTAGGCTCCTCAGATTTTGGGGGTGAGAGAGAAATGTGCAACAAATCCTTTTTTTCTTTTTTCTTTTTTCTGAGTCTTCTCTGATTCCCAAACCTGGATACCTCCTATTGCCTCCTTTTTTTTTTTTTGCTGACAAAAGAAAAACCAAGACCCAAACACAACTTTCCAAAGCAGCACCCTGTTTTACTCTGAATTGCAGCTGTATATCTTGCCAGAATTACTGCTTAAGGTCACTTTGCTGGCAAAGTTTTATGAGCAATAGCAGAGGCATTCAGGTTGCTTCTCTCCAGTCTTTGCTTAAATTCAGCTCCTGCTTGGAAAACGATTTAGTGCAACTGGTTTGAGGCTATCTGGTGTATTTGCTTTTATCGAACCTCTAAACTGGGCAGAAGCTGATGGCATAAGTTACAATGAAGTCTTTCTTTTCAGTAGTCAGTGAGCAAATGTGTTTTTTGAGCCCCTACTGTTATTCCACGGAATACACTGTAAACTACATCTTAATTTTGTATGAAAGCTCTTTTTATCTGCAGAGAGGGATTGCTGCTAGTGTTCCAAGAAGTCAGCTTTTAAATGAGAAACCCAGCAGACTTGGCTGTAAAAAAACCCAACAAACAAAACCCAAAAAACCCCTTTTCTTCTCTGTCTGATATAGATTAAGAGAAGTTGAAGGTAAAAATGATGCTTTGTCACCATCCAGAATTGAGCAAAAGCTGGTGCTGAAGGGAAGAGAGGAGGGAGTCGATGAATATAAACAGAAAGTCATTCTATATCCCAAGAACAACTGCCCTTCGAGTTTTCCAGTAAATAACATCACTCAGTTGCTTTAGCTGGTTGTTTCAGTATGTCTACTCTTGAGCATCTTGATTCATGAAAGAAACTAAATAATTTCTGGACATTCAAAAAAACACGACTGCCTTTTGTCTCGCTCCTAGCCAAGATATTCTGGTTTTGTAGGTAGATGTGAAATGCTGCTCCTGTAAGACAGATTTCAGTCTCATTGCAGCTCTTCCTTAAGCAATTTGTTGCATGAGAATGGATCCTTATACCCATAAAAACAATCTTCAGTGCTCATTTTGATCTCAAGATGCCCATCTGTGTACATAACCTGTTTACAAGATTTAGTCCAAAATGCTCTTTATCCCAGATATTTGGCAAAAACAGAATTAGTGAAGGTGTGCATCTTTAGAGATTTATTGGCACTTGTTAACTGTTACAGCAACTGTATAGTTTTGCCATTTGTGAATAGTACATACCTACTGCCAATAAAAATCTTTATGTTGCAAGTAGAAATGAAAAATCTCCTTATTGATGTGCCTGAATACCAATACTGGGCTTTGCTGCTTGGTAGGTGGCATATCGTGTTTAAAGACCGAGGAATTGGCGTCCCGTGAATTAATGTCTCCACCAGAAAACTATTTTTCTGGCAATTTGGTTGAAATATACCAGGCTGAAAGTCATAGTCTGTTACTGGTTAATTTGGGGAAGAATCTGAGTTTTTTTCCTGTTTTGCCTTGTAGAGTGCTGCTCAAAAGGGATTCCGCTGAACGGAGTGGGTGTGCTCAGGAGGCTGTTTACATTTCTTGATATTAGCCTTTGAAATGATGATTAAATATCATTGGAAAAAATAAACCTTAAAATTTATTTGTATTTTGTGTAACGACTTTCATCAGCTGCCAGGTAGCGATGGGGGAATGTGCTCTGTGAAGGAGGGTGGGAGGAGGACCTGGCTGTGGTTTGGAAGGCGTTGACAGAAATAGAACACTTCCAGGGGAGATTTTTGTTCCGTCCTGGTTTGATACAGTTTAAAAAAAACCCCAAAATTCCAAGGTGTGTTTTGCCATCTACACTAGGTCCTTTGGGATCCACAGGCTTTGTGAGCTGGCTGGGTAAGAGTCAACAGCACAGTGTTTTGGGAGAAGATACCTAAGGAAGTATCTGGTTCACAAGAGTAGTCCAGTAAAGCTGGACTCTGCTGTCCAAGCCCAGTGGGATTGAAGCATGGTCCTCTGACAGAGTCACTTTTGGTATCTTTGCTGAAAAATCACCACTCTTGTAGCAGAGCAGTTCAGGGACAGCAAGGGCATGCAGCTTGGGGTGGCTTTGTCCTAAACTCTTGCACATCAGTGGGGGAGAGCACATCTGAGCTCCCAGTAGACAAGAGGTTTCCTCTGCAAGGGCATTTACCCCTTGCCAGGTTGCTGCAGAAGTGAGTGATGTTGGAGATTGGTCTTTTTTTTTTTTTTTTTTCCTGTTGCCAGTGCTAAGATTTGGGGGAGTGTGAGGCTAGCCCATCAAGTCAAAGTATTTCAGAAATTTGGAGGGAAGAGATTGTATCTCTTCTTTTCTTGGCCTTTTGGGATTCTTGGTTTGAGGTTTGCATTGTGAAATGGTCAATGATAAAAACTTCCTGCTGAGTTTCACCTGTCACTGTGTGTCTCTGGCCACCAGAATAAATTGAGACTGGCCAAATTTCTTAACCATCAGTCCCACTATGCCAGTGATTTTATGTAATATATATTACCTGGGCAAAATCAAAAAGTAGGGTTGTGTTCCTTCATGAAAATCAGAGAAACATTTTCACAAAGCAAAACCTTTCAAGTAATTTTCATCTTTCATGCTTGGACTTTCTTAACTTCGAAGAACAAGATGATCAGCAGCTGCCTTGGGGAAAGCCCCAAGAAGTGATTTCTTAAGTGTGTCATTTCATAATGTGAACTGTCTCTAATTCATGTATGTATTTATGCATATTTCACAGCACATTTGGGTTACCTTATGCTATTCTTCTAAACATGTATATCATGACTTACAAATATAAAGATTGAGATATATATATACACACTTTATGTTTGTATAACACTGCTGGGGGTCACAAAAGCTATACAGGTGTCTTCATCAACATTCTTTGGAGCTGAATAACTTTGTTAACGTTTCTTCAAAATCCCTCATGTCAAAACAGTCTAACTGTATAATTATCAAATCCCCTTCGCAGAACGTCAGAACAGAATTGTGATTCTCAAAACATTCTGGTTTAACAAGTTTGGACATCGCTAGACTTCTGCTGTCTTTTACTTCGTTAACACATTTCTTCTCCTGTTGCAAAAATAAATAATTTCTTCTTTTGTTGTAACAATCTGTCAAGTTCCCAAACAGGGAGTCCTTTCAAGAACACGGTTCCTTTTTTTCTGACACTGCTACAGTATGAGCATCTTTAGGTGGTCAGCAGCTCCAGAAGCAGGAACTTTAAGAAGGACATCAAATACTGTAAGAAGTGATATATCAGACACCGGCAAAACTGTCACACAGGCAGATGTAAGATTGATGTCCACGTTCAAATATCTGCACATACATGTAAGACCATTTGATAAATGAAGGCTTTCTATGAATTTGCAACATTGCAGCCCTTCTTTGCAATAAACTATTGTAGGATTTTAAGCATAAGCAAAAAAAATCATTGCATTAAGAATAATGGGAGCTCACAAAAATGAGTTTATAGTGAAAAGCGCCAAATGCTGATGGAGCATTGTTACACGAGGGAAAGCAAAAAATTGCACCTCCTGTGTGAAGTGAGGAAGAAAAAAAGAGAAGACAGGAGGAGGATTAAACACCTTGTACTGACTCAAGAGGAGATGATGAGCAGAGCTGTTACTTTTGCCCAACTTTTCATACAAACTCCTAGACAAGCATAATTTTTTTTCAGTATTTTAACACTTAGATTGCGACATAGATGAAATTTTCATCTCTGTCCTCTCCCCAATGACCCCAGGAAAATATGATGCTTCCTTCTCTTGGCTCACTAAGGTGAAAGGAGATTGCTTTAGTGGGTCTCCACGTGTGTTTTTGAAGGGGGCTTCTCTTCTGTGGAATTTTATGCCAGTCCTGTTTAATCTTTTCCGCAAGGTTATCTTCCAGAAACTGGAATGTACCTAACAAAGTAAGTTCGCATTCAAAAAGTGTTACAGCACATATAGTTCATAGCCAAAAAACTACGTAGTAGAAGTTTGTGAAGCAGGCAGTATTGCTTCGGGGTTCCGTCCACTAAAACATATTTTGGCCTTAAAATCCAATGTGTTTAATATTTTTTATGATTGATTTAAAGCTGTGTCTTTGAAGAAGACTGATTTAATTTGGTGGAGTACTCAGGCATTTTGTGCTACAAAAATTACTGCAGGCTTGAAGCACGCTATAAACGTTGTCTTCACAGGTGTCCTGGGGCTTCTCATCGAAGGGTTGCTCTGGAGAGAAGGAAAACAAGCAAGCTGCAAGCGGAAGCAGAGGGCGAGAGTGGTCCCGGTGGGACGGAGCAGCCTAGCAGTTTATCTCCAGAAGCAGATCAGGGAATAGTGCCAGCCGAGCAGAGCTTCACCTCGCCCGCCCTTCCTGCATGGACGGATGAGCCCGGCATCGACAATCCGCCTTTTGAGGAGAACACAGTAGCAGACAGTATGTCACCACTTATCTTCTCAAGTCTCTTTTATCAGATGTGGAAACATTTGTGGTGTCAGAGCTTGTCTCTTGCCAGCCGTGAATGCACGTCTTCATTTTCTGCTCTTTTTTTCTTGCGATTCCTGGAGAAATGTTAGTGGGTTTCAGTTACGTGCAAGTTTGCAACGGGGATAAGGTCACACTTAGGAAGGAAAGAAATATCTTGGAGTGTGTGCCAGATACCATGGTGCTCTATCATCGTGTGTCGTACCGTGGTGCAGTAGTTCATGTTAATCTGCTAGTGGCGCTGGCCTTGCAGCGAGATGGAAGGAGTGTATTTTCTGCAAAATTACCAAAGTTGTTTTCTAAGATGAGATTTCTTTTCCCCTCTTCCCCCCACCTGGATCAGCAGCCTTCCCACACACGGAGTGCTGGCCTGCTCGAACGAAAAGGCAGCTGAGTAACTCCTGCATCCATCTGCACCGAACGAGCAGTAACGTCTCTAGCATCTGGGATTTTAGAGAGGAAACGCTGAGCCTTACCACAGAGGAAGGTGGTCCTGTCCCCTTCCTTCTCCTCTGTATTTGCTATCTTTTAGCATCTCCCTTTTCCTCTTTAGTTGTCTCCATGTTTGCTTCAGAAATGGGCTCCTTCTCTTGACCATGGTAACTCCATGGCAGCAAATAGTGCAGTTGTGAGACCAGCTGACGAAGAGGCATGACCAAGTCATGCTCCATGGGGTAAGCCCCAAAACACACTTTTATTATCATCATCAAATGTGAATATACAAGTAATCAAATTGGAAATGAAATGTATAAAATTTATTATAAAGGACGGGATCCAAAGGGTTTCAGAATATCCTTTTCCAATACAAATAATCCCATTTCAAGAAGCATGGATGCTACTAAGTCGTTAGAGAGCTGTTTCTAACGAGCTAGGTGTTCCAGCAAGTAGTGGAACTAATCCAATTGCACTTGTTTAGTTTGTTGTTAAACCATTGTCGTGTGGCCTGTCTGCATTGTCCTTTAGTGATCTGCTTTACGGAAAGTGAATAAGGTATAAAGGATATTAATCATCTTTCTTTTTGTAAAATAATTGGCAGCAAATCAACAGCCACCTACCTTGCCTGAAGGAGAGATCACTACTATTGAAATTCATCGGTCCAATCCTTATATCGAATTAGGAATTAGCATAGTGGGTGGCAATGAAACGCCTTTGATCAACATTGTCATTCAAGAGGTTTATCGAGATGGGATCATTGCCAGAGATGGAAGACTTCTTGCTGGAGACCAAATACTGCAAGTATGCAACTAATTATGTATTCTGTCTGCTTGCTTTCCATTCAGGCCTTGCAGAACTGCCTGTTAAATGAGATGGGAGATTTTCCTCGTCAGACTATGTTGTATAAATGTTAGCTTTGCAATTATCAGTTGGAAGGCAAATTAATATTCAGAGCAGAGCCTGTTGTTCTAGCACTTTGGACTATCATGCTTTATGTTATTTGTCGGACCGACCCCTGGAATTAATTTTCCTCCTTAGCATCTCTGATCAATGTTTAAAATATGAGTTTATGTTTCTGTTTTTAAATGTTGTGGGACTTGGTCTTTATTTCAACTTTATGCATACTTTCCAAAGGAACCCAAGGTTTCTTCTGGCTAACAAGTTGGCATAATTTGTCTTATGTAAAAAGCAATTTGGGGATTGTAAGGCTGACTTCATCTAAACTGTTATTTTAATCTGGCTTCACTGTTACCTTCCAATAGCCGAGGCAGTTGATCTGTATCTTGTAGTATGTGTAAAAAAGTCAGTGATACTCTTCACTGGCATGGTTTGAAGCAAGATGCTTTAAATATTTTTCCAAAAAAAAAAGTAAACAATTATAATTTAAGTTGGTTATGATCGAATGTGTATTTTTGTTATAGCTTTAAGTAATTAGCCACAAACAGTGTAAAAAGATCAAATTCTATTAATTTTCAAGTTTAAATTTTATATTAGGGAAAGGGGCTGTTTATAGGACTCTCAAGAATGGCAGTAACTGAATTCTACCTAAGCAGGACAATTCTCCAGCTTTTTTCTATTTTTATTCATTCCACCTGAAGCAAATCTCTTACCATCATTTCAAAATGACTTCAGTAACAACGTTTGCTTTTGATCTGGTAGCCTAAGATCAGTCCAAAATTAGTATCGGCCTTTTTCATTTCACTTTTTTGAAATCAAGACGATAGAAGCAGCTTAAATACTGTAGTTACCCTTGGAATGAAATTAGTTTGCACTTCAGAAAATAAAGTCCCTTTTGAGAAACGTGCCTTTTTCCTCTCTTGGAGTGTTAGCGTAGTGGCTGGCCAAGAAATCAACCCAAGAGGTTGCCAAAATGTTGCCTTTTTAACAAGCAATTGCAGACACTGATTGAATGCTGCCTAATTTATTTCGATACTCGAGGGCTCTCCTCGGTTGCCAGAATAGGGAGCTTGAGCTCCAGTGAAGCTTTGGAAATTCTTGCTGTTTGGGAAGGTGTTAGTTATCGTTTCCAAAGCCGTAAGTGGCAATAAATTGCCTATAAATAGGATTTATAAGCTGCAGTGAGTCTTCCCTATCAATGTGCAGGCACTGGGGCTGTCAGATGCTGGGGGTTGTCCATCAGAGTCTGTCGGTCACGCCGAGGGAGAGGTACAGGAGGTAAAAGCCAAACTTTTTGGAAGGTACAACATCTTTATTGCTTTAAATTTACCTGTGCAGGTGCTGAGCTGTTGTATTAAAATGACCAGGCTGTAATGAAGTGCAGAGTTAGTGCAGCTCAGCGTGCGCACTGCAGTCAGGTGTTTCTGAAAATGCCTTCAAAGGCTTTTATGAGCAGTAAAGGACTAAAAGAAAGACAGAAAGGACTGCGAGGTGAAACTCAGCATTTTCTTCCCCAGTCAAACAAGAAGTATTACCCTTTTAAGATCTGAGGGAACAGCATTTAATAACAGCTACATCAAAGCGTATGTTGTCTGCAAGGTAGAGATAGGTGCCTAACGGTTTTGAAGTGCGCTACAAATTGTTCCTTTTTTTTGTGCTGGACTGTGACTGTAATTCATGTAAAACATGTCCTAATGAGAGTCTCTTTCCCCAAGAAACACTAAGGCTGTTTAATTCTGAAATTGTGAACTGCCTTGTAGAAAGAAGAATTATATTGTATTGCATATATATTCTTCTGTGCCCTTTGAATGTTTCCATATTTTATGTATTTACTTTAGCTAGAGACAGCTAAAAATAAAACTAGATTTAATTTAAGGGCTGTGACGGATGAGCCCTGGTGGGTTTTGCGGGTGGCAGCTCTAAATGTTATTTCTTCTAGCTATGCCTCTTTTCCCTCTGCCCGAGGGTGCAGCCTGTCTCGGGGCAGTAGCAGACCAGGACGCAGCCGTGGTTCGGCGGCTTCGTACTGGGCATCGGGCTGGAGGTGGCTCAGCGAGGGTGCGCCTGCCCCTTCGCCGTGCTGAAACCACCACGGCCGAATGGTTTGGCATTGACCTCTCGCAGCCCCTCAACTCAGATGCGTGATGTAAATGTGACGGCGTTTCTATATCGTACGTAGATTTCTGGGTCCTTTCTCTTCCTTTTCTTTTCTTTAAAGTGTTAATATTGCTATTAGATGGTGGGAAGCTGCAAGTTTATACTTTTACTTACTTAGGTTGCCATGGGGAGCATTAAAAGGGTCAGTGTAGTCCATTTGGCATTAGTTTCTATCTGCTGAAATGATGGAGCAGGAGTTCCTCCATCAGGGCACAATAGCACGTGCTGAGGATGAAGTTTTAGTGTTAACTTTGAACCCCTTCTTACAGAACAAGGCAAATACATGAACAAATTTAATTATTCTGAATTTCAGTGGATTTTTTAAATTTTTCGCATCATGGAAGTACTGCATATTGTTAGACATAAGCTTTTTTCAGAGATTTGCATGTATTCTTTTTATAGCTGTTATTTTACAATTTTAAGTGATGCTGGACTTGGCACTGAAAGCACATGCAAAGTTCTTGTCCTGGAGAACAATGTAAAGATCTGAGGAAGGCAAGTGTAGGAGACCAGGAGAAGAAAAACCCTAGACTATGATGACAGAGGGTGTTCATTGTTAGAGAGATGCTGTCACCTTTGTGTGAAAAGGCCTCAGTGGAGGTTTAGATTGGATATTAGGAAAAATTTCTTCACTGAAAGGGTCGTCAAGCACTGGAACAGGCTGCCGAGGGAAGTGGTTGAGTCACCATCCCTGGAGGTATTTAAAAGATGTGTAGATGTGGCGCTTAGGGACATGGTTTAGTGGTGGACTTGGCAGCGCTGAGGTTAATGGTTGGACTCAATGATCTTAAGGGTCTTTTCCAACTTAGAAATAGGTTTGTAGATTGAGCAGCTGAAAAGGATGGAAGGATGAGAGAAGAAGCCTGATAGATACTTCGGTTGCTCCAGGGTTGTTTTTGCAGCAAGCTCTGAACTTAGTTTGGAAAAGACTTTATTTCCATAACCAGGAACAATTAAACACATGAAAATACCATTCTGATTTTGTTGTTGTTTTGCAGGTTAATAGCTTTGACATAAGCAACGTGTCTCACAACCACGCTCGAGCCGTGCTTTCCCAGCCTTGCTCGGTGCTGCACCTCACCGTGCTGAGGGAGAGGCGGTTCGGCAGCCGCACACACAACCACGCGGACACCACCAGCTCCTTGCGGGAAGACAGCTTTCAAGTGACGCTGCATAAGCGCGACTCCAGCGAGCAGCTTGGCATTAAACTTGTACGCAGAACAGATGAGCCAGGAGTTTTTATTCTCGACCTTTTGGAAGGGGGGTTGGCTGCTCAAGACGGCAGGCTCTGCAGCAATGACCGCGTACTTGCGATTAACGGACATGACTTGAAGCATGGGACACCTGAGCTTGCTGCTCAGGTTATACAGGTAATTTGCATTCCCTACCTGAGTCCTTAGCTCAGCTTTATTTCTTGGGCAAAGCCTGGGGTAGAGTCTGTCCCGAACAGAACGACTTGTGGAACGCCTAAAAGCCTGCAGTGATGCAATTTGCTGTGTTTTATGTTCTGGAAATTATAGCGTGAAACAGGGTCTGCCTTGGCACCTAGCTGATGAACTTCTCCTCAGAAGTGAAAAGTGCATTAGTCTTCCCTGGCATATAGCCTGAAGGTTAGAAGACTGCTCGTGTGAGCAAGGAGAGTACCACGAAGCCTATTGCTTAGCAGGGAAAAAAAAGTGAGGATTATTATTATATTTATGTATGTACTGTAGTTTTAATCTCTTGGTAAGTGCTGTAAAAGTGGGCTTTGTTTTGTATTGAATTGCCTGTGTGTGGAATTGGGGTTAAAACAGGCAAGTGATTTGTCAGACTTCGTAGAAGGAACAGGTAGCAGCTGGGAAGGAAAAAAATAGGTCTTCCATGAGTCCTGTGCAGTAAAACTCATTTTCTGAGTGTTCAGGAAAGGGCTAGTCCCAATGTCTGGCTCTGCTCTGGACACAAATAATACCCAAAGCTTGATGCAGTGTGACATATGACCCTTCCCTCTTCCCACAGGAAAACCTTTACTCCATGCCTTTCTCCCAGTCTGTAAGGAAACAGCTGCAGCACATTGCTGCTTCCTGTTACGGGATGTTGGTGAAAATTCCTCTGTTTTTAGGAAAGTTGGGATAAACCAGTAGTAGGTTCTTGCAGTCTAGTGCAGTCATCTTTGCTTAACCCAGTACCACATAGAGAACTCCAACACAAATGAGTAGTCAGTATTTGTTTCAGGAATCATTTCAAAAGCTTCCCTTGCAGTTAAAGGAAAATAACAATGATCTCGGGAATTGTAATTTCAGTTTCTCAGGTTTTGCATACAATGAAGTGGTCAGATTTTTACACTGGGTAACATTTATCTATTGAGGTGTGGTTTTGCAGCAACAGAAAGACTTGATGTTTTATTTAACATCTGGTAGCCGAGTCTCCTGACATTCCCCAAGAATTTGGTGATCTGCTCATATATTACATCTTTCTTGGACATCTCTTTGGGAAGTACCAGAGGTGTTCAGAGCTTTTGAGCAAAATCTGCAGACCCTGGAGACATCGTTTGGGTATTTCTTTCTTTATTGCTATGTGTTGCAGAAGTTCACAGAGGCTGCAAATGGAATTGGGTGATATTTAATGGTTGAAGCTTCATAACACAAAGTGAGAAACGGTCCTTTTGGCAAAGGATTTCCAGCTGATGTAAATGTAATGTCAGAGGCAAAGGAGGAGCGTTAATATCCCCTCTGCTCTAGGGGAAATTGTAGCAAGAAGCAAGTAAGGGATTGTGCAGTCTAAGAAGTTTGTGGCACTCCCTGGAACTGGAAAACAAGTTCTGCTGTTGTCTTGTTTCATATTTCATCATACATTTTCATCATAGAATCATGGAATGATATGGGTTGGAAGGGACCTTAAAGATCATCTAGTTCCAACCCCCCTGCCATGGGCAGGGACACCCTCCACTAGACCATGTTGCCCAAAGTCCCATCCAACCTGGCCTTGAACACTTCCAGGGATGGGGCATCCACAGTTTCTCTGGGCAACCTGTTCCAGTGCCTCACCACCCTCACAGGGAAGAATTTCTTTCTAACATCTAGTCTAAATTTACCTTCCTTCAGCTTAAACCCATTACCCCTTGTGCTGTCACTCCATGCCCTTGTAAACAGTCCCTCTCCAGCTTTCCTGTAGGCCCCTTCAGGTACTGGAAGGCTGCTCTAAGGTCTCCCTGGAGCCTTCTCTTCTCCAGGCTGAACAATCCCAACTCTCTCAGCCTGTCCTCATAGGAAAGGTGCTCCAGCCCTCTCAACCTCAGTTTTCCTCCCTCGCTGCTGATAATCAGTATCCTATCAACTTCATTGCTTTGTTTTATATATTGACAGGCTAGTGGGGAGAGAGTGAATTTGATCATCTCTAGACCCCTGAAGTCACAGACGGTCAGCATTGTCCGAGACACCGGGACTCACAACAGCAACCCACACCAACACCAGTCCCAGCAGCTGTTTCACAGCAGACCCAACTCACATAAGGTTGGTATTTCTCCTTCTAAGAGGTATAAATACCATTTTACTCATGTGATGGTCCAGCAAGGCAGGACTGGAACAAAGGGTTCTATCTTCTTTTTTACCCACTTAAAAAAAAACAAAAACAACTTCCAAGTATTCAAGTCCTGCATCATGTCTGGAGTGGGAACAAAAAATATGCAACAGCTTTTCAGTATATTTTTTTAATTTATTTGCTGACTGCAGTGAAAGAAGCAAGTTCTCTGAGCTCATACAGCTGTACTTCTTAGACCTTGTCTAAGACAGTGGCTCATGTGTTACTGCTGTATGTGAGAGCTGTCATTCAAGGATGTTACTTGTTTTGTTGCCGCTGTGCTGGCTGCAACCAGCAAGGACAGGAGATGCAGTACACACTACCCAGCATATAAAGAGCATGTTGGAGGTATGTGTCATCTCCTCCATGAGCCTCCATGAGTGCTGACCACAAGACTTCTGAGTTCTGCAGGGTCAAGCAAGGAGAGAAAGGCAGAGTGAAGAGACTTTTGTGAAGCTAGTGTCAAATTATCTGGAAGACCTACAGAAATAAAGCCTGTGCTTGAGATGTTCTTGTAGTTAGAAAAATATGACTTATTACTGTTAAGAAGTTGATTTTGTTGAAATAATTGTCACGTTGACCTGGTCAACCAAGCCACCTTTCCTCCTGTCCACTCTGTTGACATCACTGTTTAATGTCATACTTCTGTTGGGAGGATTTACATGTGTTGATAGTATTTTCTTTTAAAGCTTTGGGTAATTTCAGAAAAGAGCAAGTGAGGGTCTAGGAAGCTTGTTTTCCTCCTGAGCGACAAAGGTGAAGCTCCTGAAGACAGTTAGTGGCTGTTAGTACTTGCCACAATGTTAGGCCATATCAACACAACGATTACAGCTCATCTATATCAGAGCTTGAACTCGCTTTTCATCTGCCAGCATGTTCCTATCGCAGTTCCAAAGCTGATCCATTAGCTGAGCTGATTTCCCTCACGTATCGATACCATCCCCGGGCTCTTTCAAAGTGGGAAGTCCCACGTAACTGCAAGCAGACATTTCCCATGTTCCACACCATTTATCTTTGTGTCTCTCTCATTAACCTACAGTTGGCTTAGAAGTCTTGTGGCTTAAAAAATATTTATATAATTGCATGGCACCAGCCAGTTAGTCCTAAAGCCTGAAGACTTAAGAAGGAGCTGTTTTTATAAGCTATGGTATGTATATGTATAGCTACATATGTGATTGACATGTATATGCAAGGAGCAGAGCCAGTCAGAAGGAGCATGTGGCACTGAAAGTTGAAGAAAGCAGTGTTGCCATTTTCTAAGAGAAGGCAGGGGAATAAATAAGTATTTGTAGTTGGAAGAATCTGCCAGTTATTTCTTCTGTTATTTTGGATTCCTTGCAAATATTCTGTTGATGTAAGATGCTACTACAGGTGTATGTACTGCGGTTTGAATGTATCACTAAATATCCTCCAGAGAAAGGGCTTCAGCAAATAAAATGTACTTTGATTCAGGTTTAGATCCTTTTGATGGGGCAAAACTAAATACGGGCTAAACTTTATAATTCAGGTGTTTTAAAATGAAATACAGGATTTCTTCTTGCTTCAAGTCTGGGTCTTTGTTGTAATCATTAGGGGAGTCTGCATAAGGCACCCATTACCAGCCTTGGCATTGATTAGCCTTAGTTACGTTGTGCTCTGGGAGATTCCACGTACCAGCTGCGAAAGAAAACATGACATATAAGGGCTTTAAATGGTCTCTCTTTGTCATCGTGAAACCGCATGTGTTTTCATTTCTTAGGAGCTGCTTTGTAGTTCTGGGCCATATTCTACTGGCAAATGAAGTAATGCTGATGTTCACCAAGTCATCAAAAGATTTGTTTCTGGCTTTTGTCCACTCTTTTGACCATATGGTTTTGTAATGCAGTCCTAAAATTTAGCCTATTCCAGTGTAGGATGCTAAGAAAAATTGGAGTGAGATTTGCAAGATGGACTTTTATAAACTTTTTGACTATATTTAAGTGTCTACATGAGTGGCTTTTTGGGGGTTTTTTTCTGACTTGGAGGAAATCCAGCTGAAGCTGATTTGCACTACTTAGTCCTTGTAAACCATTACATTAAAGTGCCAAAGTATAGCTTTGGGGTGTATTTAATTGTGTTTTGGTCTGGTTTTGCTCTTTGTGTTTTGGGTTTTTTTTTTTAAGTTTTAACAATGTTATTTATCCTTGTCAAACAGGATCTCTCCCAGTGTGTTACATGCCAAGAAAAGCACATTACTGTGAAAAAAGAGCCACATGAATCTCTGGGAATGACAGTGGCAGGAGGCAGAGGCAGCAAAAGTGGCGAACTGCCCATCTTCGTGACAAGCGTGCAGCCTCACGGGTGTCTGGCAAGAGACGGCAGGATTAAACGAGGTGGGGCTTGGCTTTCCTGGTGGCACGGGTGGCCTCCAATTGCTGTTTGATGAATACGTTCTCTGGAGTCAGGTGGTGCCGGAAAGTCTTTTCACAGATGTAGGGAAGTGTTGATGGATGCTTTTCTTCTTGTTTCAATAATGGAAATACAGTATTTAGTATCACACTTCCACCTTTTCTAGGAAAAGGATGTTTAGAGAACGATAGCAGGGGAAGACCAGGAAATGTCTGGTTAAATTCTTTAAAGCTGATGGTAATCCCCTGAGCTGAGGGTCTGGGGATGCACACATCCTGTTTTTGTGTTTTGTGTGGTGGGCTGGGCCCCACCTCTGTCCGAGAAATCTCTGCTCCTCAGTGTAATATCTGAATAGTAGAGATGCTCTGATGGCAGACCACGGCTCACCTGTGCTAAGTTTACCCCCAAAGCTATGTTAGTGTTGACCCTGGTTCCTGAATGCTTTCTTATCCTTTGGGACAGCTTGGGTTTGCCAGTCTTCAGGGGTGCTACAGCACCCATCCTTGTTCCTTGCCTTTGCAGAAGGGAACCAGGAGGTAGAGGTTAGACTTGGTGTAGGCGAAGGCAGTCCTGCCTGATCCATAGCAAAGCATTTGATGATTAAAACATATTGTGCTGTATGTGAAACAAAGACTGCCTATGGGATCTCTGCGATTCAGAGTTCACAGAATTACAGATGGTTTTAGGAGAGAAATTTAGGGGGGGGGGAAATTCACAAATTGCAAATTTAAAAAGAACAGCGTGGGAGCATCCATATATGCTTCTGAGAGAGGGAGATTTACACCCACGTACCAACGGGTATGCTTTCTTTTTCTGTACTACTATGAAAAAACCCATACTTGATGGAAGAATCACAATTGCTCTGAAAATATGAAAAAGGAGATTGTCACTGCTTGGACAGTAAATAACATTTTTTATTTTATCCTGAGGCTTCTTAGAAATATTCTGAAATAAAATAAAAATTGTGGCAGTTTTTTTACAGTTTTTGGACTTGCTCCAGGTTATCTTTGTAGAGATGCTCGCTCATTCTTCTAATAGACTGGGTTCTGTACCAACCTTTCCAGTAGTTTGTGAATTCCATTTTGTTCGCCCAAGTAACAAGTTTGAAAAAGCAGAAGACCTAAAACAGCCAGTGGAGCCTCACTTATCTACAAGACTTGGTTACTTTGTGGTGCCTGTATTGTTCCTTCCATCATTCCTTCTTCCCTTTTAAAGTTAGGGTGGACCTGAGATACGCCACTGGAAACAATTATCTAGTGGCATCTGCAGTGGCAGTTATAGTCGAGACAGTGAAGTTATTAGGTAATTTCTATCTCAAATTTTCGGAACGATATACCATAGAAGGCACAGCAGTGATGCGTTATGTGGAAGTAAATGACACTGATCTAGCTTAGTAGTTCAATGCATGAATGTTTCAAACTGACAGTATGAGCCTTCAGAGCTATTCACATTCCCAGGCTGTTAGTTCAGACTGTCTCATCTCCAAAAACCATGGTATTAAATGAAACCCTGGCACGGGAGGTGCTTTCAGTAGGAGCGACTCTGATAGTATGATGTGTTCTCACTTGCACCTTTGAACAGGTGACGTGCTGCTGAACATCAATGGCATCGATTTGACTAACCTAAGTCACAGTGAGGCGGTGGCCATGCTGAAAGCTAGTGCTGCTTCTTCTGTAGTTGCCCTGAAAGCCCTGGAAGTCCAGATTGTAGAAGAACAGCCCCAGGCTAACGAAGAACAATTGAGTACCATCAGTGAAAATGAATACGATGCCAGTTGGTCACCGTCCTGGGTCATGTGGCTGGGACTTCCAAGGTACAGAATTCATTGATAAAGTAATTAGTTACCTGTTTTAAGCCAATTCTGAGAGAGGTATAAAAGCAGAGACCTTACCAGTTGCAGCACATCTGCCCTTATTTCTACCTAACTGACCGTCTCCGCTGTATTCGGTTGGCAGTGTGCTTAGGAAGAGGCCTGGGAACAGGAGCAATGTTTACTTAGGAAAATGGAAGATGAATAGACTTGGTTTATCCCTTCGCAAACCGTAGTAACTACCCATGTGGATTCTTCTCACTGAACACAAGTCGTCTTTTCTATTGCTTAACCATATCGTAACTTCCTTTAGAATATCTAAAACTAGAGAGGTTATTAATAAAAACACAAAGTATTTACCCACATGTCTCTTTGCTAACCCATTACCTAAATTTATGAGGCCAAATATACAAGTTTAGAATATTGGATCAGACTTGCCATTCTGACAGACTCTTGACATGGGTCTCTTGCGCACGTACAAGTCCGTAGTTACAAATCCTCATGCATTTTTTTCAAGACCCCACTACCATCTCTGCCAAACACAAAAACTCTCCAAGATTTGCAGTGAGTTCCCTCCCCTTGACTAATCTGCGGTCTGCTGGACATCACTGTGTTTCATTTTTACTCTTCTGTTTTTCACTCTCTTGTGGCTACAGCTATAAGCTCATTCTGGCATTGCTTGCTATCAAGAAGAGCTCTCACTACAGAAAATAGTGGTGTTAACTTCAGTCAGGGAGTGCAGATTATTTCCCCTCTCTCTGAGTTTCCGGGCTCAGGTCTGTAGTTTAAGCATAAAACCACAAGAAACAGATGTATTGGTGGCAGAATTGCAGTCAAAGATAACAGAACCATGCGTTGGCCCTCCAAAGATTTCACACTTTTTCATTTAATTTTCTGAGTTTTACTATCAATTTCTCTTCCATTCAAGTATTAATGAGTTACCTAATCTCAATAAACAGCTCTCAGTTTTGGTGAATGTACTTGCTTTCCATGCTTCAGCAGTGGTTTATTGCTTATATACTACAGTTGCCCATGCATGGCTCCTAAAGTTACGCTATGCATTGTGCTGCTGTTCTTTAAAGGAATGTTCTACATCAATAAAGAACTTGGCATCTTTTTTACGCAAGCGTTGATTTCTATGGGGTTTTTTATTTATGTATTTTTATTACAGTCATTGCCAACTTCATTGGCAAGAATTAATTTTCACTGGGGGAGATACAGTTAGTGAAGCATGGTCTGGAGTATCTACATTCTGTGTAACAAAATGGTTAATAATTTATGTTTTCATTATTGGTGATGCTTCAGAGGTAGCAAAGATGATGCATGGATTTTTAGATCTTTACTTACAGTAGAAAAAGCCTAAATGGACTGGGGGTGGAAGAAAAATGCACTGCATTTTTGACTTGCAAACTAAACACATCAGGTATGTGTTCTCCACCCGCATTCTTGCCACCTGTGAAATCCCTAAAATGCCATTCTATTACTGTCAGTTTACAGTGTTAAGTGTGTTTAAGTAATATTCTAGTACTGCATTATTTCTTTGAAAACACTTTTCTGTCTCAAGATTGTGGGGGTTCTTTTCGTAATCAGTTTGAATACTGACTGCAAAATTACTTTGGGAACAGAAGTCTAATCACCACCCCTCCCCTTCTCTTCCACGCTTGGCACAGTGCTAATGATGAGACAGCAGGTGTTATGCCTACTATAAAAATGTCTGTATGTGGTATACGCAGCTTTTTCTCTTGCTATCCTGTCCTTTTATTCCACAGCTGCCTACATAGCTGCCATGACGTAGTACTGCGGCGAAGCAATTTAGGGAGCTGGGGTTTCAGCATCGTCGGAGGCTACGAGGAGAACCACACAAACCAGCCTTTCTTCATTAAAACGATTGTTCTTGGAACTCCCGCATACTTTGATGGAAGATTAAAGTAAGCTAAAATAATAGTAATAATAATAATAATCAATACTTTTTAATAGTTACACGCCGGTGTAACTAATTGCTTAAGGAAATACACTGTAGGATCTTGTGCTGGGGGGGATCACGCAGCCCAGGAGCGCTTTGCCTCCCTGATGAGCATGATGCAGGGAAGTACAGGGTGTTTCTGCTGGGAAGAGGGTGTCTGTCAGAGGTGGTGCTTGTGCTGGCACCTCTGCCAGTTCCCGTCCTCCTCCCCAGCTGCACCGCTGATGTCACCTGCTGCCTCCGTCTCCCTGTTGAACCCTTCTTTAGGCCAAGAGACATTGCAAAATGTCTATGTGCAGAACTGGCTAGTTTGTAATGCCTTTGTCTTCCTAGAGGACAGCTAAAAAATTCTGTAAAGTGGGGAGAACTGCTGTATCCTTTCATGTAGTCTTCTGAAGTCACTGCTGGAAACTCTGGTACTGAAGATGGGTGCTGCTGCTTTAATGGAAAGGCAAGAAAGCAGATGAAAAAGATCTCTGAAGAGATCATTAAGGAACCAAGTCCCCATGCCAGTGCCCTGAGAGTCACTAGTTGACAGGAAAGACACCGATAAATGAGGCAGGTTCAGTGAAGGCACATGAGATGGTGGGAGCTGGAGCACTTGCCCCACAAGGAGGGGGCTTCAGGGCAGCTAACAGCCCCTTCCAGTACCTACAAGGACATTATCAAGGAGACAGAGCCTGGTCTTTTCACAGTGGTGCAGGGCGAGAGGACGAGACAACTGGCACAAGTTGAACAAAAGAGGTTGAGACTTGATTATAAGGAGAAACTATTTCCCTCTGAGAACGGTCAGGCAGTGGCACAAGTCGCATGATCTCTGCGCCTGGGGGTTTCTGAGACCTGACTGGATAAAGCCCTGAGAGACCTGGTCAGATCTCACAGCTGACCTTGCTTTGAGCAGAAGGTAGGACTAGAGACCTCCTGAAGCCCCTTCTGACCTTAAAGATTATATGATTCTACTTACACGTTATGTTTGGATGCAACGCCCAGGTCTAGTATGCGTATATGCATCTTAGCCTTCTGAAGGATTAGTTCAGAATTAAGATTTACAATTCCTATTAAAGATTCTCTTGTTCATAAACTGTATTTTTGTGAAGGTGGCAGTAAAGAATATGCAACTTGAAGTTTTATGGCATGATTTTTACATGTAGATTTACTTACAAAGTAACTTAAGAAAAAAATTGTACTTATGCCTAGAGCCTTGCCAGTAATTGATTTTTCAGTTCAATGACTAAATAAATAAATGAAAAAATAGCTTGGCTGAACACAAAATTATATTTTTTTGGCCAACTATGAAACAATTTGGGTTAAATGAAAGATTTCAGTTCAACCCAAAGTAAATCACTTCAGATTGAGGAATTAATAACTAGAAGTCTTCAACCAAATGTAAATTGAAGCATCATTCCTAAGAAGAGGAGTGGTCACATTCACCCCCTTGGTAAGGAGTGGAAAAGATGCTCTTGTGTGATATTGTCATATAGTACCCTCTGTTCAACGGTACTGTCTCACTGATAATGTGGGCTTAAAAATGGTCCATCAACAAGGGAGAGCTCCTTAGAACCTCCGTCATGAGTTATCCTGGGGCAGGGCTTTTGTGAAGCTGTTCTGTTTTGTTCAAATTTCTTCAATGTTTTGTTCGGCTAGAGAGGAAGGAAGAAAATAACTTCACAGTTTGACAGTGAAGACAGTATTGTGAGTACAGTATCTGTCTGGTGTGATTTTATAGAAGGTGAAATGACTTAAGCAGAAAGGCTGGGGGAGTGGGACCCCACTCAGTGAACTGTAGCATTGTGGTTTGGGTGATGGGGTACCTTGGTTCCGGCAGAAAGCACTTTTGAGTGCACATTTGACTGGTGTAGGTCACAAAGACTCTTCTTCCACTGTGCTGCCCTAGTGAAGGGCATGGGAGAGCTCAGGAGAGCATCTTTTTGCCATCCATTTTGGTGCCTCCAATAGTTGGGAGGATCGGTTTCAGGAAAAGTCCTGGTTGATCTCCAGAGTCATTTTTGACACACACTCAAGTCACAGAGATGAGACGCTTGGAGATGGAGCATGCTCAACGTAGGAAGAACTTAGGTGCATTTTTAGAGTTTCTCTTGAGCTTGTAAAAACTGAAACTTAGCCCTTCAAGGTCAATTTTCCTAAGGCCAGAAAACAGCATCCTCCCAATTTCTGTTCCCCGTTTAAAAACATAGAGATGCTACAGCTTCTCAGTTGAACCATCTGCTGAGGGAGGTTTCAAGCCAAACAGTTACATTTGACAAAATCGTAAGCCGTCGAAAACAAGGTTCTCGGTTGGAATGCGGTTGGTAACCATAAGTATCTTTACTTACACCTCCTACAGTAAAGGCATGTTTGGTGTAAACGTGTTCTAATCCACACAAGCAAAGAGAAATGCTTCTGTCGTGCACGTGCTATCCCATTATCTTCTCTTGACTCCGTTATATCTTGCCATCTCTCTT